TAATGCTCATGTACCTCTGTATTTTAGTTTCTCACAGCATTTTTAATGGCTCTTTCCATTGCAGAGTTCACCTTGGAGTGTCTGTAGATTGCCTTAATAGACTGCAAAACTTCCTCTGTTTTTAGAGTGTAAATGATGGGATTTAACATAGGTGGAATAGTTTGTGTCAGGGCAGTATTGAAAATACGAACATTTGGATTTATAGGTATTATAGAAGCTGCAATGTAAATACTTGAAATTGGTACATAACCTATGGCCACTAATATGAGGTGGGCTGTGCAGGTTTTCATAGCTTTGGTTCGCTCAACGCCACGAGACATCTTAAGCAAAGCAAAACCAATAATGAAATATGAAAATGTTATAAATATCAATGGGAAAACAATCAGTACAGCAACACAGATAATGCCCATTATGATGTTTACAGAGTTATCATTACATGCTAGTCTATGGATGGGGCCATGATCACAGAAATAACTATCAACAGTAGTAGATCTACAGAAGGATAGTCTGGTAATCAGAGATACAGTTAGAGCAATAATGGACACAGAAAAAATCCACATAACACCAATAATCAGAGTCATTGCTGCTTTGGTCACAATTGCATGATATCTCAGAGGAAAACATATAGCAACCACTCTGTCATAAGCCAGAGCAAGCAGACTGAAAGACTGGAGTGTCATAAAGACAAAAACAAAGAACATGTTTGCCAGACAGGCTTCATAAGATATGTACTGATTCTCAAACAGAAACATGTCCACAAGCTTTGGAATGAGAGCAGAGCTTCCACACAGATCGGACAAGGCCAAGTTGAAGACAGCTATGTACTTTGCTGTGTGCAGAGTACGTGCCAGGTATATGATGCCCATTATAAAAGAATTCCCTAACACAGTCACAGCATAGACAAAGCATAGAAACATATAATAGTATTTTGCATGTGGAATATTACGAAATCCATTAATGTAAAATGTGATAGGACGAATATATGTTGCATTTGTTGTGGAAACTGACTGGATGAACATTATTTCAGCAGCCATCTGGCTTCACTTGACCTGTAAAAATGAATAGTTTGTGTTAATACTTTTTATTATAGTTCTCTGAAATAATAACATGTCACGGTGCACAGTGCAAACCAATGTGGTACTGCAAAAGAAGCCACATGAAATCCATAAAATATAACAATCATTCATATGCTAATATGCTATAATTGGATATTTAGATATGGAGAAAGTGATACATGACAGTTTGATACTTAACCTTCAGCAGATGAGAGAGTACATGAACATACAGTGTGGAGCAGGCACTTTTATACTATCTATGGTGACATCATTCCTTGCAGCTCTGTTCCTAAACATATCTCTGAAGATATGACCTCTACAGCATGTCATCTGGAATGAATCAAGAAAAAAGAGACCAGTCTCAAAACATTATGTAGGATTATAAGATTTTTCTTTTTTTTGATAGAAGTGCACACAATCTTTGAAAAACTCAAGATTTATCACTAAACTCAAGGTTTATTATTCAAGAACTACAAAGACAAGAAACTGTAGCAAAGGAAAACAGATATGTACACAGACTGGGCACCTTGGCTCATTTTTCATTGTCACTGGGGGCTTTAACCCCTTAAAATCCCAGGCTTAGTACACAACAAGGCTTATTATTATAAGAACTACAGGGACTTCAATACAAACTGCTTGAGCTATTCTTAGGTTATATAAGTGTGTAATAAAACATTGGGCCCGCTGGTGCACCCTGGCCCTTTAAGGGTCTTAAGGGTGATCTCAGCACTTGAGGACTGTTTTGAGGGCACAGAATGGTGAAGACCATCATTACACATTCTCACTGGAAGCCATGGATGACTGCAGAGATGCATGCACTGCTGAATACGGAGAATGCTGCCTTTAGGACTCAGCACTTGAGGACTGTTTTGAGGGCACAGAATGGTGAAGACCATCATTACACATGCTCACTGGAAGCCATGGATGACTGCAGAGATGCATGCACTGCTGAATACGTAGAATGCTGCCTTTATATCAGATGGCAAGGCAGCCCTCATCACAGCAAGAGCTAACCTGTTGCTTTCTGGAGTTGACTCACAGAAGGCTGCTGGCCCTGGCTGGGTGCTCAGTGGATGTGCTGACCAGTTTGCGGACGTTCTAACAGATATCGTCAGTATCTTCCTGAGCCAGTCAGTTGTTTGCAGAATGCTTCAAAGCGACTACGACCATCTCTGTGCCGGAGACACCTCAACAACTACTGACCTGTAGCACTTACTCCAGTCATAATGAAGTACTGAAGCAGTTGGTCATATGGACACATGGACATGAAGTCCTGTGTATTTATAGTCTTGTGTATTTATTTGCTATTGTCACTTTGTTACTTTGCAACCATTGGCTCTATGCTGGTGTGAAGTAAGGTCTGTCACCTAAAATGATAATAAGAGCAGCTTACATGTGACAGAACATGAAGAAAGCAAAGAGCTACAGTCCACCAAAATTCTCAATTACTTTTTCCAATAGAAAAAATAGACTTTTTACTTGTTACATTTTCATTTCAACCTTCAGAAAAATTGTTACAAATCTTAAAGGCCAGGAAATTTCTCTCTTTCATGCCAACAGTTCACATGCACTTTAATTGATTGTGTTTATCAAATCATTCAAGCAAAGTAATTTTCATGTCACATGAAACTGCCCAGAACTTTGCTAATTTGACTTTGTGTGAGAATCAGTAGTGGTCTGCGCAGGACCGATTTTTTTTAGTCCCACCCCATAGGATTTTGTCCTGCTCCAGCAGAAAATGTGCACCATTTGTTCCGCTCCCGCCCATAACTTAATTGTTTTGTTCTGCACCCACTCGCAGCGTTTACTGTCAGGTTTTCACCTTTCTTCAGAGCACTTTCCACAGCTGTGGCCTTCTGACTGTCTGAAGGCTCTACCATTTTTGTAGCCTACAAGAAAGCAGCCCACGTGTTGTTAACTGATTGGTTGCTTCACAACTATTTAGAAGGAATTTACTATGTTTTGTTATTTCACTGTTAGACATTATGTATGTATATATATATATATATATATATATATATATATATATATATATATATATATATATGTGTAAGTGATTCATATTATTTTGGATATTAATTGATTCTTGGGATTTCTCAACACGTATATGTTGTCCCATTCTTGGCTGCACTTGACTGGTTAACCTCTCTCTCTCGTGCATGTCACTGAAAATTAGCCCTGCGCCGCAAGATACTGTGGTAGGTCCCGTGGGAATGCAGACCTCTAAGGACCAGTTCCACCCATTAGTCACTGCATCACCCACCACCAAACAAAGAAAATATTTAGTTTATTTGTTGAAATATTCAGTTTTTACTTTTATATTCTTCAGTATGTTTATATGTTGATACTTTTTCACTCAAGCATATTTTCGATCTATTCTTCCGCTTTTTTTAAATGAAAACTTTTTAAATTTTATGTGTTAAAGTAGGGGAAGGGCAGGGAGCCTCCAGAACCAGGGTTGGGAAACACCGTTTTAGACCAAAGCAAGAGTAGTCCAGCAAAAGAGTGTGGAGGTGGGGTCTAGCACACCCAATTCAACCCATCAAGCGGCTGACAACTGGCGTTACTTTGAACAGTTCTAGTGTAGTGTATGTGTGTGTGTGTATAACAAAACCTCTATTTTATATCATTTTTGCCATTTTTCTGTTTTTGACATAATTTGAAAATGCCCATTGCTCTTTACATTGTATATATATATATATATATATATATATATATATATATATATATATATATGTATACACATACATATATATATATATATATTCAACTTTTCTGTTCCACTTTAAATGATGCAGCAGCTACAGCTTGGCTTCTGTACATGATGCACCATTTAAGGTGGAATAGAAACTCGTAATATGGCAAAACGAGCAAAATGGGAAAATGAAACTGAGTCCTTCAATTCTCTTTTTTGTTGTTTGTCCTATTTGTTTTTTTCAGTTGATGTCTTGTGATCTAGCTTGAAGAACAAAGTTTGGTTCCAGATTTCTCCTCAACGCCCACAGCCATCACACAGATTTGTTAAATTCCATCATCAGCACATTTGATCTAACATAATAAAATACTGATTAACCAAAACAGGTGGAGTATCATAAGTATAATTAATGATGGGCTTCCACAAGGAGAGGTTATGAAGAGTTAAACACATTCACATTGACATACATAAATTCACTGCTTATTGTACTAATGATATTTGTATTTATTCTAAACTAAAGTATGTTTCTAAACAAATAAGTGCTTACCAATCAGATGTATAGCATTTTAATTCTAATTTTCTCAGGTGCATAAAACTTTCGCACAGTACTGTATTATAAAAAAGAAAATTATGTAAAGACATGACCATGTATGTTGTATCAGGGATATCAGGATGTATAGCTTTTTGTGGTCACTGCTCTAGTGATGAACTCAACCAAAATAATAGAATATCTTATTGTTGCTTAAATAGGTTTTCATCATGACCAAAAGAGTATCAACATTGCAGTAGACCCACATTACATTACTATGAAAACTCTTCTGCATGATATTGTTTCAAACAGGTATGAAGACTGCATTAAATATAATAAAAAATATTCTAAAAATGCAGAAATGTGTCATATTTAAACATTATATAAAACTGTCTAAAATGTGCATTTGTTAAATACGACTGTATATATAACTGTTTGACAATTTTATCACTTTTTTCATCTGATACACAAGTGAATGCAAGTTGTATCTACCACAGCTCTCAACGCTTAATCACAAGCTGATGAACCAAACAAAATTTATAGAAATGCATTTCTAATGTAAAACTGAATATACTTACTTTTATCTTCTTTTCATCATCAGTATTTTCATTAACTGAATATATATCACATCATTATTTTGAAACTCCAGTCATCACCAGTTTGCATCACCAACTGAACCAAGTTAAGAAGGCATGTGTTGCCACAATGACACGTTGTTATTTTAGTTTGTCACAGCATTTTTAATGGCTCTTTCCATTACAGAGTTCACCTTCGTGTGTCTGTAGATTGCCTTAAGAGACTGCAAAACCTCCTCTGTCTTTAGAGTGTAAATGATGGGATTTAACATAGGTGGAATAGTTTGTGTCAGGGCAGTATTGAAAATCCGGACATTTGAACTTATAGGTATTATATAAGCAGCAATGTAAATACTTGAAATTGGTAGATAAACTATGGCCACTAATATGAGGTGGGCTGTGCAGGTTTTCATAGCTTTGGTTCTTTCAAACCCACGAGACATCTTAAGCAAAGCAAAACCAATAAAGAAATACGACAAAGTTATAAATATCAATGGAATGAAAATCAGTACAGCAATACAGATGACCCCCATTATGATGTTTATAGAGTTATCATTACATGCTAGTCTATGGATGGGGCCATGATCACAGAAATAACTGTCAACAACAACAGATCTACAGAAGGACAGTCTGGTAATCAGAGATACAGTAAGAGCAAAAATAGACACAGAAAAAATCCACATAACACCAATAATCAGAGTCATTGCTGCTTTGGTCACAATTGCATGATACCTCAGAGGAAAGCATATAGCAACCAGCCTGTCATAAGCCAGAGCAAGCAGACTGAGAGACTCCAGGGCCATAAAGACAAAAACAAAAAACATGTTTGCCAGACAGGCTTCATAAGATATGTACTGATTCTCAAACAGAAACATGTCCACAATCTTTGGAATAAGAGCAGAGCTTCCACACAGATCACACAAGGCCAAGTTAAACACAGCTATATACTTTGCTGTGTGCAGAGTGCGTGCCAAATAAATGATGCCCATTATAAAAGAATTCCCTAACACAGTCACAGCATAGACAAAGCATAAAAACATGTAGTAGTATTTAGCATGTGGAATATTATGAAATCCACTAATGTAAAACATAGAGGGACGAATAAATGTTGCATTAATTGTGGAAACTGACTGCATGGAAGTCATTTCAGCAGCCATGGTTTAACCTGTGAAAACGAATGGTTTGTGTTAATAGTTTAAAATGTAGTACCTCGAAATATTAACATATCACAGTGCACATTCTTACTGAATCTATTATAAATGCATATTTTTGATGTAGAATGGTTTGATACTCTACCCTCTGCAGATTAAAAAGCATATCAGCATAGCAGCAGGAATCAGACACATTTATACCATGTCTGATGACATCATTATCTACATCACTGTTCATAAGCATATCTCTCAAAACATGATATCTTCGATGTGCCAAATTTGCAACAAATGAGGAAAGCAGAGTGGAAACATGGGTGTGACTATTACAATAATTTTTTGGTTAAGGGTTAGGGTTATGTAGCACAATATTAGCCTCTTTATTTAGTTCTTCTGACTATAAGCCAAATCAGAGATTTGCCCTGTTTCAAATTAAAAGAAATTCAAATGAGTAACATATCTCAGATATATTTTTAATAAGCTGTATGTAAATGCAACATTTCAGAATTTTTTGTCTTTCAGAACATTTGATTGATTTTCACAACACTCCAACATATAAATTATCAACTGTCAGTATGGAGTGCCGATTGAGCCACTAAAACAAAAACAAATGAAGTCATAAGGCCCTTTTGAATATACACTATATGGACAAATGTATTGGGACACACCTCCTAATCATTGAATTCAGGTGTTTCATTCAGTCCCATTGCCACAGGTGTATAAAATTAAGCTCCTAGCCATGGGTCTGCCTTAACAAACATTTGTGGAAGAATGGCTCATTCTAAAGAGCTCACTGAATTTGACCGTGGCGCTGTAATAGGATGCCAACATTGCAACAGGTCAGTTTGCAAAATTTCATTCCTCCTAGATATTATTGGTATTATTGAAAAGTGGAAAGTGGACAGCAACTCAGACATAAAGTTACAGAGTGGGTTGCAAAGTGCTGAGGCACATAGTGCAGAAAAGTTGCCAACGCTCTGCTGACCCAACAACTGCAGAATTCCAAACATCCTCTGGCATTAACATCAGCAACTGCGCCAGGAGCTTCATAGCATGGGTTTCTGTGGCTGAACAGCTGCATGCAAGCCTTATATCACCAAGAACTATGCCAAGCGTCGGAGGGAGTGGTGTAAAGCACACCGCCACAGGACTCTGAAACAGTGGAAACATATTCTGGGGAGTGACAAATCATGTTTCTCTATCTGGCAGTCTGATGGATGAGTCTGGGTTTGGTGAATGCCAGGAGAATGTTACCTGCCTGACTGCATTGTGTCAACTGTAATTTGGTGGAGGGATGATGCTATGGGGTTGTTTTTCAGGGGTTGGCTTAGGCCCCTTAGTTCCAGTTAAGGTAAATCTTAATGCTTCAGCATACCAAGACTATTTTAACAATCGTATGCTTCCAACTTTGTAGGAACAGTTTGGGGAAGGCCCTTTTCTGTTCAGGTATGACTGTACCCCAGTTCACAAAGCAAGGTCCAAAAAGGCATGGTTGGGTAGTTGCTGTAGCTCCCTCGAGTTAAATCATGAACACAAGGCGTTCCTTGAGTTACAAGCATCTAATTTGCACGTCCATGCTGTCAATTGCTGTGAGAACTAGATAAATAAATACACAAATCATAAAATGAGTCCTGTGCAATACAGCAACATTTGCATGGAAAATAATCAGATCTCACATTCTAACACAAATATAGTCCACAAACATAATCCATTAAACTGAAGCCTATAAGCCCTTAAACTTATGAATAATTAGCCTGTTGAACATTCACGTAGACATACCATTACGTATATGAACTCCGGTAGTATTTTAGCTGTAAGCTAACGCATATCTATTATCATAACATGGAAACATACACTGTATTGCCGAAAGTATTCAGTCACCCATCCAAATCATTGAATTGAGGTGTTCCAATCACTTCCTTGGCCACAGGTGTATAAAACCAAGCACCTAGGCCTGCAGACTGCTTCTACAAACATTTGCGAAGGAACGCTCTCAGGAGCTCAGTGAATTCCAGCGTGGTACCGTGATAGGATGCCACCTGTGCAGGTCCAGTCGTGAAATTTCCTCACTACTAAATATTCCACAGTCAACTGTCAGTGGTATTATAACAAAGTGGAAGTGATTGGGAAGGACAGCAACTCAGCCACAAAGTGATAGGCCACGTAAAATGACAGAGTGGGGTCAGCGGATGCTGAGGCGCATAGTGTGCAGAGGTCGCCAACTTTCTGCAGAGTCAATCACTACAGACCTCCAAACTTCATGTGGCCTTCAGATTAGCTCAAGAACAGTGCGTAGAGAGCTTCATGGAATGGGTTTCCATGGCCGAGTAGCTGCATCCAAGCCTTACATCACCAAGCGCAATGCAAAGCGTCGAATGCAGTGGTGTAAAGCGCCGCCACTGGACTCTAGAGCAGTGGGGATGTTTTCTCTGGAGTGATGAATCATGCTTCTTCGTCTGGCAATCCGATGGACGAGTCTGGGTTTGGCGGTTGCCAGGAGAACGGTACTTGTCTAACTGCATTGTGCAAAGTGTAAAGTTTGGTGGAGGGGGGATTATGGTGTGGGGTTGTTTTTCAGGAGTCGGCCTTAGTTCCAGTGAAAGGAACTCTTGATGCTTCAGCATACCAAGAGATTTTGGACAATTTCATGCTCCCAACTGTGTGGGAACAGTTTGGGGATGGCCCCTTCCTGTTCCAACATGACTGCGCACCAGTGCACAAAGCAAGGTCCATAAAGACATGGATGAGCGAGTTTGGTGTGGAAGAACTAGACTGGCCTGCACAGAGTCTGACCTCAACCTGATAGAACACCTTGATGAATTGGAGCGAAGACTGCGAGCCAGGCCTTCTCGTCCAACATCAGGGTCTGACCTCACAAATGCGCTTCTGGACGAATGGTCAAAAATTCCCATAAACACACTCCTAAACCTTGTGGAGTTGAACCAGAAGAGTTGAAGCTGTTATAGCTGCAAAAGGTGGGCCGACATTATATTAAACCCTATGGATTAAGAATGGGATGTCACTCCAGTTCATATGTGTGTGAAGGCAGATGAGCGAATACTTTTGGTAATATAGTGTACATAACCTTGCCTACCTCACAATATATATAATAATAATAAGTAATATAATGTAGTGCAAAGTGCAATGTAGTGCAAAGTGTAGTGCATATGTAAACATATATATATATATATATATCAACAGATAAATAAATTTTAAATAAGTATATATACAAGAGACTGTATTGCACTGGAGCTCCCAGGTATGGAGTAATCAAAAAAGAATTGGAGCAGCATTTTATTTAGAGTTCAGCAGTCTTACGGCATGTGGGAAGAAGCTGTTTTTGAACCTGGCTGTTCTGCTTTGAAGACATATACAAGTGCCTTTTAGACAAATGTTATTATACTTATATTTATGTCAACGAACAGAATTAAATTATGAACTCAAACTGCACAACTGACTTTGACAGTAGTTACAGATGAATTTGGTGCGAAAGAACTTGACCCGCACAGAGCCCTGACCTCAACCCAATCAAACACTTTTGGGATGAGCTAGAACAGAGATTGCGAGCCAGACCCTCTCATCCAACATCAGTGTCTGATCTCACAAGTGCTCTTCTGGATGAACAGGGCAAAAATTCCCACAGACACACTTCAAAATCTTGTAGAAAGCTTCCCAGAAGAGGGGCCTAAAGATTTAGAATGGGATATCATAAAAGCTGCTGTAGGTGTTCCAATACTTCTGCTGACATAGTGTATCTTTAACCACATGAGCAGGACTGTCTCCTCTTTGGTAAGGAGCGGTTGGGGCCAAAAAAAAACCTTGGCAGGATCTGCTATTTGATTATCCCAGGCCTGTGACATTATGAGGGCATTTGCCTGCATTTCGTTTATGTTTGTAATATTTTAGCGTGCCACTGCTGTTAGAAGAAATGCAACTTTTGCACAAGTCATGATGCTTTATTATCCAGCTGTTGTTGTCCACAGCTACGTCACACATAAGCGGAGTTTTCTCTTTGATAACAGCTTGTTTACTACCCAGCTCACATCTTACTCTTCCAGCTCTTCTCCCACACACGTGCCTCTGGGCAGTACCAGTCCTGCTCTCCACAATAAGAGTCCCCAGCAAAATAACCCAGTGAACAAATGCTGAAGAACAAATAACCTAAAATCAACCTGCAACATTTATTGATCAAGATACAATGTCTTGAATGTCGTGTTTGTATGAACTATATATTTTATTAATATAGTTGGACAGAGGGTTCTGTATGTAGGTCATGTGCCTTCAGTTTAAATAACTGGACTGATTTTTAGCTTTTTTACCTGAGAATTAGGAGTTTGGCAACCTCCTTGTTTCACTTTGTGTTTTGTCGAGCCACTGCAGAGCACACCACCACTGTGGAACAGTTATATGTTCAGTGGCACTAGCTAGATGAGCTATTATCTAAATTTGTCACTGTTTCTAAGAGCTTGGAGGATAAAAAGATGCGCCAAGATGGGATATGGGTAAAAAGATGTTGTTTTCGTTCAAATGCTTTATCTCACTGATCGCTGAAATTCTCAAACTATTACAAAATTAATTGTAAAAATGAATGTCCTTGACTTTTGTTGTGCTATCTGTAGAGAATTTCTCCTTACAGCATTTGGTTTTTACATTTCCTTCTGTATTTATCCAGAAATTCAGGCACCAGAGCCATGGGAAACTTTAACCTAAGTGGGCTCCCTCACCTCTTGTGGTTCCCAGGTATGACCTGGTCTGATTGTCTGTTGCATATGTCCAGACGTAATGGAGGAACCAGGAACCAGTCCAGACTATGCACTGGAACAACGTATTGGAAATTATTGGGATGACCACCTATTTAGCTGGAGGGATGGCAGGATGGGAGGGGGTCAGACCCTTCTTCACAGTCACACTGGAATCTCTGGGGGCCTTGCACAACTTCATTGAAAAGGGGAAGAGATATTGTACATGTTCATTATGTAGGCTCTCACTGTCCATAAAAAAAAAACCTA